GTAATCAATTGTATAAGAAACTGAATATTTGGACAAACTGAATAAACCCTGCCCCCGGGGCGGGCAACATACCCTTTACACTGTTTGGCTTTTTCAGACAGACAAAGATTTCCTTAAAAATTTTAAATTAAAACTTTTTCCGGGTTTGGAAAAAAATTTGGAAAAAGTTCTTTAAAATTTTTGTCAAAACAAAAGGAAGTAATTATTGCATTTGCCTTTTATATTATCAAAAAAGGGATTTAGGGAATTTGTAATGTGTGTTCTACCATTTACCTTTTTAGCATTTTTTGGTACCCGCAAAAATTTTCAATTTTAACAAGCATTATTTTCATGTTTTAAAATTTGGCCTGGTTGTGTAAAGTTTTTTAATTTAAAAAAAAGGGTTTTAAATTTTTTTTATTTCCCCAGTGTAAGTTTCCAAAATATTTTTTCGCCAAAGTGAGAAACCAAAAAGGGGTACATGTATTTTTCCCACGAGTTGCGCACCCCACAAAGTAAAATTTAGAATTTTTTTGGTGTTCAGGAGTTGAAATATAGTCCTATCTAACTATCTAACATTAAACTAAATAAATTTTCTTTTTATTATATGCAAAGAAACGTTTTAAAAGACATTTTAACCTAGTAGTAAATGAAAAGGGTGCCAAATGATAATTCAATGTGACGTCAATTACGCTGTCAAATCATTAAGATGGTTTCCAGTACTGTGAACACTTGTATTTCACTGAAACAACGTAACAGGCTCAAATATTCAAAACAATTTGATAATTTCATTGTTTAAAACAGTGAAATTAACAGTTTTTGTTTCACTGATATATTTCTATAAACCACCAAAAAGCATGTACCGTAAAATTCCTAATAAATGCCCCTCCCCTAATAAAGGCCCCCCAGGCCTTTTGTTACTTTTTTAAGACTTTTAAGAAATATGCTCAGAAATAAATTGAAAATTTTAATTTTGTGCTATTCTTTGACCGATTTTTAGTGAAAAGTGTTATAAATTTGGGTCATTTTCTCAATTAGAATTTGAAAAAAATAGTGAGCGAATTATCTGAAATTTTGCACACATGTTATTGGACTGTAAACCTACATCAAATGGACCATAAATTTCAACAAAATAAATTTAAGTCCTGTCATGTCAAAAAACATGCTAGCACTGAATGTATTTAGAATGATTTTTTGATTTAGGAAAAACTGTGTTGTAATAATAGCCCCCCTTTTGGAAAATGTTTAGCGCCGGGGGCGTTTAATAGGAATTTTACGGTAATAAACATTATTCCTAAGATTTGTTTAAGTTAGAGCAATAATATAAGAATATTTTGTTTTTTGTGGATATAAGCTATAGCAAAATTCTCTAAATTCTCAAGTATGGAAGCATGAAATGAGAATTGAACAGAAAAAATATCACCTTTAAATGAAATAACAAGACTGCAAATTTTTTTTATTTAATTAGGTGAAATTTAAGGCAATGAGTTTTCATGATTGTACATTGTGAGAGAGATAGAATATATCTCACTAATCATGATGGGTTTTCCATTTATCATAGAAGCTAATTATAGCTGCATGAATGACCAGTTGATATAGGCGTGGTTCATTTGGCCAGATGTCAAAAATGTGCAGAAAACCAAAGAGTTATTTATAGTACACGAAATGCTATTTTTAGTAATACGGGTAATAGGGATTTTAAAAAAAAAATATTTTTAGGAATTTAAGGAACCCTAGTTTTATATTATGTATTAACAAGTATCCGAGTGATTATTTTGAAATTACAACCTTAAATTAATATATCAAAATGATTAAATTTTATTTCATAGCAGTTATTTTTAAGTCATGCTTATATATTTATCTTATACTATTGCCATATGATGGTAACAACATACTCAACCTGAAACCCTTTGTATATAAGTAACCCATTGAATTTCTGCCCCTGTATTTGTTAAAAAACTTCACATCATCGCCAGTTGTTGCATAAATTATGAATCTTCATGCACTTAATATTAATAGTTCTTCAGGTAAAACAGAACCCTTAAAAATTGAGTCTTTCAGTTCACATGGTCATTTGTAGATAATACATTCTTCATATGTAACCAGCTTGCCCACCAACACCAGGGGCATTGTGGGGGATTTTTAGATTCTCAGTAATAGCAGAGATATTGAGATTTTCTTAAGGCAGAATGTTATTATTCTGAGATGATTTGATTGATAAAATTATGTCTTATGATATGAAAACGCCTCGGCTTTATGATTACAAAATCATTTATGTGGATAAAGTTAGCAGTTTCTTGCAGAAGAACAGAATCTGATGAGATAATTGTGGTATAAAATCAAGGAAACTCCGGTAAAGTTTGTAATCTTCCACCAATATATGACTGAATATATAATCAAACTGTTCTTAATCCAAGCAATTGTAAGTATTAGTCTGCTGATTTTTTGGGATGTTAATTTTTGAAGAAGTCAAATTTGAGTACATAAATTGAACTACCAACAGTATAGAGCCTGGTCAGACTGCATGGTGGCAAAACCAAATCACTTTTAGTTCCAGCAGACTATAGGTTTATGTTCATGAGCTGTCCTAAAAAATATTTGTTTTTGTGTTTTTATATTGTATAATACATGTACTTCTTTTATAGAACAATTTTATATAACATTTTAGAGTTCTAATCAATGAAATGTTGTTTTATTTTTCTCTTTTATTTTAGAATAATTTTTTGTAATATTTAAGAGTTGTTATCAATGAAATGCTATTTTTTAAATACTGATTTAATGTATTGGTTTTGATGATTATGATTGTTTTACTATGATGTTTTACATTTGTGAAAAAATAAGAAAATAAAATTTAAGAATGTGAGCTAATAACATTTGTTGTATTTAAAGATCACCTCAAATAAAATGTTGAAATGGAAAAAACAAAACTGGAACAATTTAGAATTTCATTATGGACTTTACAATAGGGAAAAAGTCCTCCCAAAGTATATCAAAAAAACCTTAGGGTATTTGTTTTTTAAAGCTTTTTTTAAAACGGGTTATATAAAGGGCTATATGAAGGCTTTTTTTGCTTTAATTTAAATTTCCCCCTTTTAAAGCAGACAGGCAAAGTGTTATTTTCCCCAAAACAACATTTTTAATATACGGTCATTTTAACCTCCCAAAAATTTTTAATTAACAAATTTAATAAAAACAAAATTTCTTCCTGTTTTTTTAGAAAAAAAAAGGAAATTTTTATAAAAAAGTAGCCTGGTGTTAAAATGTTGATTCCCCTTGGGTAGCCCTTTAGTGTTTTTTTGGGGGGGTTTTTAAATAATAACCCAAGTAAAAACCCCACAAAATATTAAATCCCATGTTTTTAACCCACAAAACATTTTGATGTAAATTTTTTTTCCTAAAACCCAAACATTGGGGAACTGGCTAGAAAAGGGTTTAACTGAGCATGATTCAATGCTTTATATTATAAATTAGTTTCAGATCGGGGACAATAATAAAAAAACACTTTGGGGTGATTCAAGGGGAAAACAAAGAACAAAAGATGAAACCCCCTTGATTTTGAGTTTTGGGCATCAAAGAGTTAATTTTGTACATTTTTAAAAGGGGAAAGGGAAATTTTTTGCTAAATTTCATGTGGGTCTAGTTTATGTTTGAGTTCAAAATTTCGTAGGGGATTTAGTAAAAATTTATATTGACTTTGCATAAGCTAGATTTTTGGGGATTTTTTTCATTCTGGGTCAAAAATCTAGTTTCTATTGGGGAGGTGAGATATTCACTTGATACCCCAAAGACAAAAAATAGCACAATTTTTCTTTTTCGCCCCAAAAGTAAAATTTTTATTTGGGGAAACTAACAGGGGGAGTGAAATTTTTTAAGAAAAAGCTAGCCCCCCAAATAAACCTTTTTCAACTTTATGTACAAAAAAATTAATATGTAAATACATACTTTTTTTTACAAATCATTTTTGTATGTAACGGGTTTAACCATTGCTGATAAAATTTTTGGTTTAGGGAAAATTTATTTCCCAAGGGATGTAAACCTTTTCTGCCATACTTGACCTCACAGAAAGGGGGTTTAAAGTTTAGGGATCTTTAAGCATGGGGATCTGGGTATTTAATTTTTACACAATAAAAAAAAATTTTTTGACCTTTTAAAGGGCCAATTTAAATGGGTAAAATTAATCAAAAAAATTCCCCAAAAACCCTAATTATAGAAAATACCAAAAATATTAAAAATTGGCTTTCTCCCATTTACATTTCCTCAATCACCTATCTTTAAAAACGAAAAAAAGAGCCCCGTCCTTTAAAAATTAAGTACAAGAGATTTTTATGCAGCAGTCCACATGATAATATTAATAATTGTGTTAAAATAAAATATTTTTAATTTTCTTCACAAATCATTCAAAAAAATAAAAGGGAAAAAAAAACCCAAAAGATTCTTTAACAGAGCTACATCAACCCTCGCACCAGACATAATAAGGACAGGCTGTCAAGCCATTAACAAGAACTAGTGCCTTAATTGTCTTTCGCAAGAAACTGATTATAATTATTTAATTTGAAACAGTCCATTCAAAGTTCAAGGGAATACAAAAATTGAGCTGCCAACAGTATATAGCCTGGTCAGACTGCACGGATGTGCAGGCTCAGGTCTGGTTCTATACTGGTGGCAAAGGCTGATCACTTATGGTTCCAGCAGGTTAAGGGTTAAGACAGATCCACAAAATTGCCTCCCCCACACCTACTGTAGTCATTAATGTTTTTATTATTACATACTATCAATATCAAAATTTCCATATTTATCTATATATATATATATATATATATATATATATATATATATATATATATATATATATATATATATATATATATATATATATATATTAAAGGGCTCTGCTGATGTTTTTTTGGCAGGTGACACATTGCTAATTAGAAATTCCATTATTCTATTTTTGATGGATGTGTAATACCATGAGGGATGGTTACAGGGTTTCCACTTTTAAGGGTATAAAAAAAGCCACAAAAAGCTTAATAATATTATTAATAATAAATCTATCAACTGTTCACATCCTAACAAATATTTGTTGTTTCTTCTTTAAAAAAAATCAAAATGTATAGAATATTTTCAACAGTCGAAAACAGGTTAAATATTTGCACATAATTTTATCAATAGTTGACCATAATACCTTTGCATTCTTTATGGAAAGATTAATACAAGCAGTTAGTTTACATGTTAGTTTGTAATATACTGGTATTGTATTATCTCAAATTTAAATTTGTTATAAGGTTGTTTAAGTTCAGTAAAACTTGTAAATTTGATACTAAAAATTTAATGACTGGATTTTAAATTCTTCACAGGTGGAAATGGATAGTTTTCTTTGCTATTTTACAACTGACATGTTTTTCATCAGAAGCTATGAAAATACGTAAGTAAATTTTTCTTTTTTTATTTTGAAACTTGTTAAAGTGTATTCATTGTTTTTGTTTTTGGTTGGGTTAAATGTCGCACCAATACCTTATAAGTCATATGGTGAAGTTCAAGCTTTAATGGTGGAAAAAGACCTCAGGTGCCCCTCTGTACATTATTTCAGGTACAAACAGGCACTTGAGTAGAACCACCGGCGTTCCGTTAGCTAGCTGGGCAGGTTAAAATATTTAAACAACATATTATACACAATTCAATTCGAATAATTAACACTTTTTGATAAACTATCAATAGAAGTGTACTGATATTGAGCTTAAACTTAGTACATAATTGAGATTATTGTGCTAATTTGTGTATTTGCACTCAGAATATCTCTTTGACACATCAGAATATTTTGACTAAGTGTTTTATCAATTTGGTTTACAAGTTAAACTAGTAGAATTAGTAGACATTATTAAATACTGCAAAATTTTATTAAAGGACAGTCAAATCACTTAAAGCTACTTGTCTCCAGTTTGTTAAACTAAAACAATTTATAAGAAATAAAGAAACTTTTATTTTAAAAAAAACTAAATTAAGGAGTTTTTAACAAATTTAACTAAAATCCTTAGATTAATTAAATGTAAGGGTTAAGAATATAATTGGTGACCATTAAATTTATTGTTAATCAGTTTAATCAAACTCTTAATATCCTTAAATGTTGGGATTCCCAATCTTTTTTGTTGTTCGGTTTTGGCATCATTTTTACGGGAATATTTCCCAAAATATGTTCAGATGGATATTGAACAGTTGCAGACCACATGATCAAAGTATTAAACATGGATATGCTGGTTATTCTTGATCTTGCACTGGTGGTTACGTCGCCAGCAAGTTTAAGGCCAATGACTATTTTCCTACCTCATTACTAATACAGAAATGGACTGGCTTAAAGTTAACCGGGAATCTTGAGGGCCTAATTAAGTCTTTTATGATAAATGAAATTGCTTATTCATAAATACTATATAGTGTTTGACTAATTTAATTTTGTTAATACATACTAATGAATAGAAATTGAAATGGTCTAAGCATGATTCTGAATCACTAACATGTTGCTTTTATTTTTAAGAGTGTTAATTTAATTTCAGGTGCAATTTTTACTTTACCCCTAACCTAGGTATCGGTAATGGATATTCCATGCTTTGAATTTTGAAGTCTGTTTGAAGTTTAAAGCCACATTATTAATTATGCCTCAGAAACAAATAAATCTTAACTTCTTAAGAAAGGGCAAACATGAATTTTATAATGTTTAAATAATAGTTTAACCCATAACTGCATGTGCATTTTGGCTATTTTTGTGTCGCCTTGAAAAAGGCGACATATAGGTGTTACTTTTGTCGGGGGTGTCGGCGTTGTGTCTGCGTTGGCGTCGTTGTTGGTGTCGGTTCCCCTTAAGCTTGTCCAGAGCATAAGTCAGTCATTATAAGTCGGATTGACTTCAAACTTGGTATGCATGCTTCTTACAATGACCCGAAGTGCAGTGCACAAGAACCGGTACTCTGCACTCCTTATTTTTTGAGTTATTGCCCTTTGTTAATTTTCATACTTTATTTTTGTCCAGGCCATTTCTCCTAAAGTATCAAATCTATGGACTTGAAACTTCATAGGATGATAGATCTCATTAAGAAGAAGTGCAGTGCACAAGAACTGGTACTCTGCATTTCTTATTTTTTGAGTTATTGCCATTTGTTAATTTTCATACTTAATTTTTGTCCGGGCCATTTTTCCTAAAGTATAAAAGCTATGGACTTGAAACTTCATAGGATGATAGATCTCATTAAGAAGAAGTGCAGTGCACAAGAACTGGTACTCTGCATTTCTTATTTTTTGAGTTATTGCCCTTTGTTAATTGTCATACTTTATTTTTGTCCGGACCATTTCTCCTAAAGTATAAAAGCTATGGACTTGAAACTTCATAGGATGATAGATCTCATTAAGGAGAAGTGCAGTGCACAAGAACTGGTACTCTGCATTTCTTATTTTTTGAGTTATTGCCCTTTGTTTATTTTCATACTTTATTTTTGTCCAGGCCATTTCTCCTTAAGTATAAAAGCTATGGACATGAAACTTCATAGGATGATAGATCTCATTAAGAAGAAGTGCAGTGTCCAAGAACTGGTACTCTGCATTTCTTATTTTTTGAGTTATTGCCCTTGTTAATTTTCAAAATTTATTTTTGTCTAGGCCATTTCTCATAAATTATAAAAGCTTTAGACTTGAAACTTAGTAGGATTATAGATCTTATTGATAAGAAGTGCAATGTACAGAAACTGCTGCTCTGCATTTCTTATTTTTTGAGTTATTGCCCTTTGTTGATTTTCAAATATCATTTTTGTCCTGGCCATTTCTCCTAAACAATAATGTTCACAAGGCGACACATCCGACTCGCAGAGTTCTAGTTATTGAAAAGTCTCCCTTACAAGTTCAAATTGCAATAAAACTGTAAAACCTCCTTCAATACTAATCAAACTTGGCACAAATGTTGACTGGACCATTGCCTTTACAACAACATGCTCATTCTTAAATTTCCAGTTACCATGGCAATGAGGGGACATCTCAAAATTGTCAAAATTAAATCACTATTTTGCGTTGATTTTTTCCATCAAAATTGAATTCAAAGTCAGTCTGCTGCAACTTCTCAATGGATTGAGATAGAGTTAAAAAAAATCAAACATTACTGAGGCATAATGGAAACTTCAATATGAAAATATAGAACTTGAATTACAAACAAAGTAAACTGATTTGTTCTGTAAATAAAGAGCTAAGATAATCATGACTCTTTTATAGAACATTCAAGTAATTGTATGTGTATTGAAAGAAGAAACATGAAGTTCTTTTTTGTGTTATACAGGATGCGTAAATATAAATACAGGACATGATGTTGAATATGATGAATCAACTGAAGTTTGCTGTAATGGGGTACACAGAAAATTCATCAAAGGACATGAACATAGATGTTGTATTAAGATATCAAAAGATGGTAAGCTATGGAAATTCAGTATTAACACAATTAACGCTCTCATGTGAAAGAATATATATGACAAAACTGATATGTAATAGAAAGAGCACCGAAACACGAGGCTATCTGATTTGTACGAGGGGGCGTAGCCCCCGAGTATAAATCAGATTGCCGAGTGTTTTGTTGTTCTTTCTCTTTTGTATCATAGTCAAACATGACAGCACGTTCCCTGTTGTCATAATATGAAACCCCAGAAAAAATTAACCAATGAACGAGCATTTGAATATGATAGTTCTGCCCCTTTCCCTTTCTCTGCCGTCACAATATGTAAACCCCGGCAAAAATGAACCAATCCACGGGCATTATCTGGAGTGAGGGTAACTGATACCAGCACTCCAGTTACAGCACTGTGCATGCATATGTATACAATTTAACTCTGACACTTTTTCAACAGAAAGGTACCCAAACTATGATACAAGTTTAATTAATATTGTGATATGAATTTTACCATTACCATCATGGATAAATGATTGTAATATGCTTTAACTGTCACATTCAAATGCAACCTTCAACTTTGAATGACCTTGACTGTCAAGGTCAGATAAGAAATTTGAAGTATATTTCGTTCAATCAAATTATGTTTTATAGGAGAATTTATTACTTCAATATTCTTCCTTTATGATGTGTATGACTTTAGAAAAAGTTACGCTTGACGGTGACTCTTGTTAGTTTAAACAATACACTCCTTAATTTTGTCTCTAAAATATAATGACCATTTTTGTGCCCCTTATTTTTTACATAGGAAATTGTTTTTCTAACTTTTGAAATTACACAGAGATTTATTTTATTTTCTTTATTTTTTTCAAGGTGATACTAAACGAGAGTTATACAACATAACAACATCCCTGTGTTGTGGTGGGGTTCTTTATAAACTACAACCAGAACAAATGAGAATGAATCCAGTTTGTTGTGGAGACCAGGTTCTAATGAATCACAGCGCTCAGTTTTGTTGTGGACAGAAACTATATACATACTCAACAAAACATTTTAGTAAGCATAAATTAATAGTGTAAAATATTTTTTTTTAAATGTAAATATACATTGTATTTAATAATCTAAAATGCAGTGGGCAAGTTTATTCATATGATCCCACTAGGAATGTATTCATTCACATGATCACAGTAGGTACATTTTTTCATGTGATCACAGTAGAGACATTACATTTTTGTGATCCCCCTTAGAACATCATTTTATATGATCCAACTTAGGACACCCTTTCATGTGTTCATACAAAGAATTAAGCTGATAATCTTTCATGTGATTCCACTAGGGACATCATTTCATATAATTTCACTTGAGACATCATTTGAGCCGCGTCACGAGAAAAGCAACATAGTGGGTTTGCAACCAGCATGGAACCAGACCAGCCTGCACTTACGTGAAGTCTGATCAGGATCCATGCTGTTCGCTTACCAACAGAAACTGACATTTTTGGGACATTTTTTATGTGATCCATTGTTAGTTACAAGAGACATTCTTGCATGTGATCTCACTAGAATTTTTGCTTGTGATATCACAAAGGTCATTCTCTCATGTGATATCACTAAGAACATTTTTTTATGTGATCTGAGTTAGGCCATTCTTTCATTTGACCAAGCTTACCAGGAAAATTGTTTCCTGTAATCTCACATTGTTTTTATCAACCGCAACTTTTTTTGGCCCTTTCCGTAAGTCTTCGGATAATAGCTGAGGAAGATCCGATTGTGTTTTCATGTGATCTTTCTAGGAGCATTTTTCCATGTTGTTCCTCTAAAAACATTCTTGTTACAATGTAATCCAATATGTTTGTTCTTAAAGTCCTCGCCTGAAAACTGAAATTTTAAAGTGGGGGAACCAGAGTTCTCTGTTAATTGCTGAACCATACAATTTAATAACAGTAATGGTGTATCTCCAGCTATAACTCCTACAATACAATTTATAAAATTGGTGATAATTTAACATTGGCATTACAGTATAATAAATAACTTCATCTGTCTTGCAGACTGTTTTAGCAGAGGGGACATTTCATTTCCAATAGAAGAAGGTGATAAAGTCTGCTATAAACAAAATAAAACAGGAACAACTATTAAGCTGTACACAAAAGAGGAAGTCAAAGAAAAAGGACAATCCGCAAAGTGTTGCGGATTACATTTGTACCAGCATGGTGGTACCCATGTCTGTTTTAGGAAAGAAAGTCTATTTCTTCAAGGTGCAATCCCAGAAGAATGTGGTCCAAATCGCACTATTCATGATGCAAGTAAGACAGTGTGCTGTCAAGACACAGGTTGGTGAAATGTCTACATAAAAATTTTCATTTTTTTAAATAAGTAGTGTAATAAATTATTTGAGAAAATTAGAAGAGAATTGAAAAAAACAACAGGCTGTTTCATCAACAAAGAAATCGCAATTCCCTAGCCGCTGGTAGGGGGTGCAGAGTGTTAACATCATACCAATGCTTTTTCTTTACAAAATAATGTTGCGGAAGTAAAGCTTTACAAATCTACATGTTTGCATACCAAAATTAATCAAGATCTGAGATGTTGTCATATTTCGGTGGGAAAGTAGCAAGCTACCGTAAACAGCTTCACCCATTTAACAACATTTAACAACATTGTTGCTATTTTTTCCTAATGTCAATCCGTTTAAAAAAGACATTACCCGTTCTAAAAATATCTTGATGTCACTTTGACAAGTCTAATTAGTTGGACTTTGAAATAATTAGTAAGATTTTTCAAATATAGTTTGTACATTACTGTTGCGTGATGTTTGAGTGAAAGGTATTTTCAGCTTTCAGTTCCATCTGAGGACAAGGTGTCACTGCCACAGGTGTACCTCAGTTTCTGATCATAACACCATACAATAGATAAAATATAAGCCGCGTCACGACAAAACCAACATAGTGCGTTTGCGACCAGCATGGATCCAGACCAGCCTGCGCATCCGCGCAGTCTGATCAGGATCCATGCTGTTCGCTGTCAGTTTCTTCACTTGTAATAGAGTTGGTAAGCAAACAGCATGGATCCTGATCAGACTGCGTGGATGCGCAGGCTGGTCTGGATCCATGCTGGTCACAAACGCACTATGTTGGTTTTATCGTGACGTGGCTCAAATGAAGCTTAATTGAAAGCTTAAAAGTTGTTCAAAAAACAGCAGTATTGAAAATGTTACAGACTACTTTTTAATGAGCCTGTTCATAAAAGGCATTGTGACTACATGTGAAAGCTCCAGCGTTTATTTTAGAAGCTAGCGACAGCCTCAGATATCTTCATATTCAAGGTGGATGATAGAAAAACTGTTACTGAATTTTTGTATCAAAATTAATGTAATTACAGGTTCAATTTTAATTCAAATTTCAGGAAAGCTGATACCAATTGGCATGTATGCTTCAAAGTACCATGACACACTTCCAAACCTAGACTGTTTTAAGGGAAAGCTAGTGGACCTTGATAAAGACAAAATAGTTTACAATGGAGATGATGGAAAAATCATTCCAAAACACTTTGATCAATGTGGTCCAGGTGAGTAACATTATGAATTAGAATATTGTATATTTTAGTCACAAAACTTTTACAATTTTTATTTTATATATAAAACCATTAACCGGTTAAAGCTATATATCTGCTATTTACAAAGTGTTGATCTGATTTTTTGAAAAAGAAAAATTTCAAAATACTTTCCTCATGAACTAAACAGGCATGCATAAAATCATCACTGAAAGGTAAATACTATAAAAAAGCACCATTATATTCAGTTCTGAATCATTTTAATATGTTTACATACAATATTTATGTGTTGAATATAAGAGTCATTCAATGTTGAGAATTCCTTTGAGAATTCAAAATCATAAGGTTATGAAAACAGCATAAGTTATATCAAAATGTTTCATGACTCAATATATCCTTAAAATTCTGACATACCCTGTGAATATAAGAAGGAATCATTATTAGAGCCGCGTCACAACAAAACCAACATAATGGGTTTGCGACCAGTAGGATCCAGACCAGCCTGCGCCTCCGTACAGTCTGATTCGCTATCAGTTTCTCTACATGTTATAGGGTTATAGGGTTTGTAAGCGAACAGCATGGATCCTGATCAGACTGCGCGGATGCGTAGGCTGGTCTGGATCCATGCTGGTCGCAAACAAATTATGTTGGTTTTGTCATGATGCGGCCCATTATAGTGGACATCTACATATCTGTATACTAGTATGCATTATTTTACTTCTTTTATAGATACCTATGACCCCCAAAACAGTAGAGTGAGAGGAATTTGTTGCGATGGCAAATTGCATTTTCATAAGTTGAATGACATGAATGCCATGTGCTGTGGAACAGAGCTTATTGACAAAAGCAACCAAAGCTGTTGTAACAACAGAAAAATCACAAAATCACAAAAATGCTGTGGAGACAGTGAGTTATTTTACAATATTAAATATAATTCAATTATTTTACATGTATATATATTGAGATTGACCCTACCTGTGTGAGGTGTGTTGATATGTCACTACCCCCTGGGACAAAGTTATCTTTTGTCCCAGCTACCTTTCCTAGACAATCAAAGCTGCAGTGTTTTTTCATATAAAATTAAATTTTGTCTAAATATTACATCACTGTGATAACAATTCTTTCATTTCAAAAGAAGATAAAAAGATATATATTTAGAAAATATATTTATCACATACCCATGCCACTTTTGGGACTTGTGCACAGCTGTGCGTATATTTTGACCAGGTACGTACCTGATTTTGACATAACATCATTTGCGTTATACAAACATAGCATAAAGATGTGCTAAGTTAGCATGACAACTTTGTCACTATAGGCATATAAATAATAAATAAGGATTATTTCACTATAAACATTTCTTATGTTGGTTATGTGATAAATAGAATATTAATTTGTGTAGATTCATTACTTAATTAATATTGGGCCTGTGGAATAAAATAATATTATGCTTGCCAGAGGCTTGCATAATATAATTTTATACAACTCATTTTCAATAAATTCAGTTTTAAACATACACACATTTAGTATCCACTAATTATGTATCTTTTTTTTAAAGAAAGAAAATGATATCTCAATCAAATAAATTATATTTAAAAGAATGTTGCATGAAAAGAGGTAGGGGGTAATGGAGGGGGTTGGCAGTAGTGATAAGTCAACGTGCCAATTAACACCTGTGAGATTTTGACTACATGAAGTCACTGGATTTTTACATATTTTGTATTTCTATATTTGAGTTTACCAATTTAGTTTATACATGTTCATTGTTCAGGAACCCAACGCATTTTCCTACTATTTATAGAAATTTTATATTTTTCCCATATTATAAGACTTGAGCTAGATTAAGATCAAGTGAGCTGTATCAAATATGTCACAAGTTCCAAAAACATACATGTACTAGATTATATATAAGAATATATTGTTAAAATGGTATTTTTGCATTGATTTTTTGATATTCACCAAAAGATTATGTAAAATATATGTGACATGTGAACTATAATGATACACTTGTGTATCAAAATGAAAAAATAGGTTTAATTAATAGACATTAAAGCGGCCTTCAGCTTTTTTAAAGGTTAAATATGTTATTTTTAGATAAATTGTTTTCGGAATCATGCAGTTGTAAAATCAAAAGAATTAATGTGGAAATGAAATTTTCCTTTAATAAAATACATAAACAAAATACATAAACAATGCGGAAACCTCTAAATACCTCTAATCTAACGTTCTGCTAGAAATGCGGACAAGTTTACCGATTTTCTATTTTTAGAAACAAGGTCACTGGTGCAATATAAATAGCTCTTAAGCTCTCTTAAAAGTGATATGATGCACTTTTTCAAGATAAAATTACAGAAATACTTAGTTTGATCATTTAATTTAAGTAACACAGAATTGTTTTTCCAACAAAAAATAAAAAACTGAAGGCCACTTTAAACTACATTTGTATAAAAAAAGAAGCATATCAAATCATTTCAAATGTATGGGCTACATATAATTGCCTACATACATGACTTTTGTTCCTTTGAATTTAAAATATTTTCTGTTATTTTTTTTATTTTCAATTACAGCCGTTTATGATATTTACAAAAACGATGTCATATGCTGTAACAGACAGCTTTACAATAATTCCTACTTGTGTTGTAAGCCACAGTCAAGTGTCGAAATTCCAACATTAAAGCAAAATAGGAATGACAATACATGCTGTGGGAAAACAACATTCCACCCATTAGTGGCAATGTGCTGTGATGGCAAGGTGGAATTTGGTTCAAAGGTACAATGTAAATTTAGCTCTTGACATGCACACAGCAGGACACTTAGTAATCTCCCCATATCTCACTGACATAGCTCCAGATAGAATGTTTGTTATTTTGTGTAAGGTAGCGGTCACCTATGCTAGACAGTTGCCTTCTCAATCAGACCAAGCCTTACCATTTTTAATCTGTCCATGTTGGCTGACCTTTAACACGGTGTAGAAACAGGAGCACTGTTTAATTTATTGCAAGCCCATATGTATGGTTTATTGTGAACACAAGCTTCTTTTATAGTGATCAGAATGATTACTATATCTTTTTGGAAGCTTATTTTCAATTTGTTCAGGTTTCTACAAGCATTAAGGAAGTAGATGATTTTACTCTCTTTAATTAATTTACTCTCCTTAAATAATGACATATATCAAACAAAAAATTTGATCTTCTTAAATAAAAGGTTATCAAGAAACAGATTTCACTCAGGTTATTGATTGATAGGCCATCAAGGCCTTCTTGTTAACAGCACTATTGATTACCTTTTCAAAAAGGTCTAAATCCTTATTTATGACAGACACATGTAATTAATTTTTCCCTTTTTATAAAGTTGATGAATTTAGCTGGAATTTTTGTCTAAAATAATTAACAAGGAGACAAATAATAAATTTCAGAGCTGCGACTTGAGGGATGAAGTAGAAAAAAAATCTGTTGCAACACCTAGGCCAGGAAAGGTTATAAAAGATACAGTGCATCAAATTATTGCTGCAAACCAAAAATCTCCACGAAACTTAGTCTGTCAGGCTTGTCTCCAATATGAAAGACCTGAAAGCGATTGTGTTAAACGGTTCAGTAAGTATGTTTATGTGAACAACTAATTTCTCATTGCATTTTACCATTTTATCACATTTTTAATGCAAGAGTCTTTCTGTTTTTTATAGTCAGAAGTTGAGTTTTATTTAGTATACAAGTACATTTATTGGACCCTATCGGTCAACATTTGGCTATCAAAGATCAAATAAAAAAATAGCGGGAATTTATTATTATTAATCTTTTATCTTGCTGGAATTGTAATTGATAAGCTTTAGCCACTAGTATAGAGCCAGGTCAGCCTGCACATCCATGCAGTTTTAAACCTGGTTCTATACTGTTAGTTGGTGTATAGACATTCCCCCCCCCCCCCCACTATCAAAGTGAATTACCGGACATTTGCCCCCAAGGATCTCTTATGTCTACCCCTATTATGCGCTAGTCATTGAGAATGCATTCTGCATGTGTAGATAATTCCCCTTACTGGCATCAACTTAATTTGAATTCAATCCAGAACAAGAATGATAATGATGAATTATTTTGAAATAGGAGGACAGTGAGTTTTACTGTTGCCACACAGCACTTCATTTGGTTCATTAAAGAGGGTTAATTATAATAACTATTACTGTATTTAATGTATGACTTCTTTTTAACTCTCTGAGTTAAGTTAGTTATATTTATTTCAAACAGGATTTCAAGTCTATGTCTTTGACATCACCGAAAAAGGAGGTCGAACTAGATTACATGTTTTATTTCTGGAGCCAAAGTTTATGCGGAAAACAAGAATGGTTTTGTATACATCTGGAACATGCAAGTGTTTTAAGCAAAACACCATTTATGACATATATACCAACAGAAATTTGAAAGACAAGGTTAAGTTGTCAAATAGATTTCGATCACATTTTACAGTGAAGGATATGTTTTACAAAGTTAAAGGAAACTTTGGCAATTTTTATAAGGACAATACATGCCAAGTAGAGAGGTACTACAGACCAATTGTTACTTGATGAAACATCACACATTTAGACAACTCTTCAATCCCATCTTCTCGGCTCTTTCTGTCAAACTTTGGATTAGAACGAAAAATAGCCAAGATGTTGCTATGGACAATGCTTGTGCTGATCAAGGTATTTACCAATGAGATTGGTCATCACACAGGTGTTCAATGTTCCTACCAAAAGTTCAAAACCCTCATTTTTTACATTCATATATTGGTATATACATGTATCTCATTTTTTTCTTAACCATATACAAAGGGTTAGTGAGCCCCTAGCACAGACAAATATGGCTTGAAAGGCAGGCCCTTTGATTGTCACCTACAGCTCTTTTAAGGGCTACCTCCTTTTCATATTGTCTAAGGTAACTGAACATTTAGGTTCTCATTGACTGCCATACAGTAACCTACTTTTGGCTTAAAATTCATATCTTTGGCTAATACTCTGTGGAAACTGCATGGAGGTGCTACAAAATTAACTCTTTAAGGACATACCTGGTGACATGTTCAGGGTCTGTACTCGACAGCAAAAGCTTTTATGTACCAGTCGCAGGCTGATGGATATTCTTTAAACCTTGAATATGTACATACATCAATATACAATGCTCCCAAGGCTCCAATTTCTTAGTCATGGCCACCATCTTTAGTCCTAAATGGTGTAGGTAAAAAATAATTATTTCATTACAACATAATAATAATACATAAATTTCCATGACATCATTATTAAACGTCATATTAACTTGAGATGTAAAATGAAATATTTTGTTATTCTATGAACAAAAAATATTCATAAAACCAAAAACTCCCATACTTGTGATGAAATTTTTCAGAAAGTACTATGTAGTGTCTTTCGATATTAAATATACCCTTAACCCTTTACCACATATATACGCGAAACAACGCACTTTCGACCACCCCCTTTTTTAGGCCTCAAATAGTGAAAAAATGTCCTATTTGGGCCCCAAACATAAGTTTTTGTTTGAGAAATGTTGTTAAAAAAAAATTGAGCACTTTTTCGGCGCCGCCCCCCATCCAAAAGATACATCAGGGGGTTGCCAGAAGGGGGATGTGCCCCCTTCTGTTAGGGGGGTCTGAAGGGGGGCGGAGTCCCCCTCATCGCCAAGAAAATTTTAGACTTGTGAGAGGCTAAAAATGACCCCAGGTCGATCATAATGTAACGTTTAACCAACGCTGAAAAGCCTTTGACTCTATCTCAATCCCTTGAGAAGTTGCAGCACTTTGAAATAAATTTTGATGGAAAAAATCGAGGCAAAATAGTGATTTTTGGCAATTTTGAGATGTCCCCTCGTTGCCATGGTAACAGGAAATTTAAGACTGAGCATGTCGTTACAAAGGCAGGCAATGGTCCAGTCAACATTTGTGCCAAGTTTGATAAGTATTGAAGCATTTTTCATAGTTTCATAACAGTTTGAACTTTTAACAGGAGGCTTTTCAGTGAAAACGGCCATTTTTCACAATATGCTCATGGGGGAAAGGGTTAAGTGACTATTTTGTCAAAATTTTCAATGGCTCTGTGAAAAATATTTTCTTTGAATATATTATTTTTCTAGAATACCAATATCACTGATGTGTATATTAAAAACAAAGGTAATTTCTGCAAATGAATTAAATTAATAATCTTATGCTTTGATTTGTAATGGTTTTTTGTAATGGAAACACGGGTTACCAAAAAAATTATCAGATGTACATAAATACATGTAAAATCTCATAGAAAGACGTCTTTCATGTTTACAATAAAGTATTATTGTTCAGTATTAGTTTAGAAAATGACATGCTCTGATTTTTTTTGGATTTTTTTCTTCAGTTTATGGTGAATTTTCTACAAATTTGAAAATTAAAAAAAAAATGTAAATTTGACAATATCTAATGAGCCAAATTTGAACAATGCCAAAGAAAAATCATTAAGAGCCGTGCCATGACAAAACCAACATAATGGGTTTGCGACCAGCATGGATCTGTACCAGCCTACGCATCCGCGCAGTCTGATCAGGATCCATGCTGTTCCCTATCAGTTTCTCTAATTGTAAAAGGGTTGGTAAGTGAACAGCATGGATCCTGATCAGACTGCGCGGATGCACAGGCTGGTCTGGATCCATGCTGGTCGCAAACCCATTATGTTGGTTTTGTTGTGATGCGGCTCATTTATGAAAGCCGGCAACTTTTTTCACATTTACAAAAAAGTATCATTATTCAGTATTAATTTAGAAAATGACATTTCCTGATTTTTTTTTTTCAATTTGATGATGAATTTTCTACAACTATGAAAATTAAAAAAAAAAAATGTAAATTTGACAATATCTAATAAGCCAAATTTAAACAATGCCAAAGAAAAATCTTTTATCCAAGCTGGTTTACAAAAATTTAGAAAATGATTTTTGCAGTGCTCTCAATAAAATTCAATATATTGTTTGTATATCATTTCAAAATTTTCTATCACAATTATAAAGCTCGGCTTCCCCCTATTAGAGTCACAAGCATACTTGTATTACATTATTTATGTGAGTTCATAAGTACTTGAGCTGATTCAGGAGTATTATACATTGTATATAACAAGTGTTTATCAATAATATAATGTTTATCGAACAGTGTAATGTTTTTGGTAAACAACTGTCTATAATAGACTCTCCTAAAATTTAACCTTAGGATACACTACAATACCATCAAGAGTATACTAGTCATTGGAAAAAGGAAATTTCCATTTAAACCAATCCCCATGCTGCGAAATATAAACAGGAAGTTCACTGATATATCAAAACATGTTTACTTCAATAAACAGTGTCTATGTCATTTCTATTTTTAAATGCATTTTCATCACTTAGAAAAACAATTTTCATACAATGTTATATTTTTTTATATTTTTTTTTTACAAATGATAGGGCTACTATATTTCTATATTGATTTTTCATGTACTTTTTCTTGAATGCTCTTAACATTTTCATTCTTAAATAAATTAAGTTTTAAACTTAAATGGATCAATTTTAATCAATCTTGAAATTTTTAAACATAGTATGGTAATTCACAGAGGAATTGTTAAATGTCTTTTTACATAATCATTTTTAAAAAGTTCTTTGTAATACTTTTTTGTCCTTGTTAAATTTCATTTGTTTTTATTTATGCAATATCAATGTAATAAATGTTTGCTGATTCTCAATTATTTTGGCCTGTATATTATTGAGGAAATTTTGTTGGCTTATTGACTATTGTGACAATTTTTTTTTTATATATTTACTGTTGAAAAAATTTTCTTGGCCTATTTATTATTGAGATAGCATGGCATTTCAATGTTGATTTTAAATATTGCAGTTTAATTTTATAATTTTTTTATTGGTTTCTATACAAATTGGTATCTTTGGAGCTACTAAATTGAATATGACGGATTGATCCATGATTTGTACATCACTAGTTGAGTGTGTGACCGATTGATCCATGATTTGTACATCACTAGTTGAGTGTGTGACCGATTGATCCATGATTTGTACATCACTAGTTGAGTGTGTGACCGATTGATTTATGATTTGTACATCACTAGTTGAGTGTGTGGCCAATTGATCCATGATTTGTACATCACTAGTTGAGTTTGTGACCGATTGATCCATGATTTGTACATCACTAGTTGAGTGTGTGACCAATTGATCCATGATTTGTACATCACTAGTTGAGTGTGTGACCCGATTGATCCATGATTTGTACATCACTAGTTGAGTGTGTGACCGATTGATCCATGATTTGTACATCACTAGTTGAGTGTGTGACCGATTGATCCATGATTTGTACATCACTAGTTGAGTGTGTGACCGATTGATCCCATGATTTGTACATCACTAGTTGAGTGTGTGACCGATTGATCCATGATTTGTACATCACTAGTTGAGTGTGTGACCGATTGATCCATGATTTGTACATCACTAGTTGAGAGAGTGAAATATTTGTACATTTGTAGACCTTTTAAATTTGTAAATATTTTTACCTTTATAAATTCATATTTTGATGTTAATTTTGTTTTTGATATTTCATTGAGAGACATTTTCTGTTTTTAAGCTGTTTATTAAAACATACTCTTAACAAGTTTTCAAATTTTAATTCATTTTTATTTTTGAATAAATAGAACTCTTTTTTCATGGAAAATTACAAGCTTGTCTGCTTTTATTTGTGACTTTTGGCAGAAGGATCATGTGCAATTACAATTGAATGTATGCATAACAAATTGAATGTTAGTAAGGACCAATAGTTGCATCGATTAATTCATGATAATTTTCTTACAATATTTTTGTGTAATTTAATAGATAAAATGTATATAATGTACAATATCATTGTATAATTAAGATATCACAATAGCTAGTCTATCATATTATTTATTTCCATTTTTGATTATTTTTTTTTGTTGAATCAGTAGCAATGGCAGCTAAGAATAGGGATAAACATTCATTTTAACAACAACTTTCAATTATCATCATCAATTATCATTCTTGATTAAAACAGGGCACTCATTTTAATTTACAAAAAACAACCTTTTTTAAGTGTTCTGCTTTTGATTATTGGGGCATTTTAATGTGTTGATTGTTTTTCAAAATCTAAATAGGGCAATATAACACTTTGATTTTGATTTTCTTAACATAATTTTATATTATTCATTTAGTTGGGTTTTTTTGCAAGTAAATTATCATTTATTTATGAAAACTTCAAATGTAAAATTATCACATTCTTATATACATGATTGTTCATTATCATATTGATTAAGCATCATTTTCAGTTATGAATGAAATTGTAAATTCATGAACATGCTACTATCAGGAAAATTTTAGTGCCTGAATAAAGATATATGTTTTTGTAATTTTTGAATTAGAATTGCAAGAAAAAGAAACAGACGTGGGCTGTCATTACAGACAGGCATATCTAGCTGTTTTATTAAAAGTAATTTAAGGTATTCCATCAATCAATATAATTTTTAAGAGACCAGTAAAATCAAATATTTTTGGGATCAGCATTGTATTTTACATGTAAATGCAAATTTTCAATTACATTTGTACTTTGACAATGCCATTTGTGTAAAATAACTAATTTTATATCTAAGACCAGGGTGGGCAATTATGAACGCCAAGTAGAACAGCATGCATAGTCATCCAAAATTCAGGGTTTTATAAAGTATGGAATACCTTAAATAAGAAGAGTGCGCTCTTTATTCCATTACTTTCACAAAATTACTTTTATAAATTACTTTCACATAATTACTTTTATAAATTACTTTCACAAAATTACTTTTATAAATCAACAGTGACAAAAAGTTGATTGTATCACAATATAGTTGATAACAGTGAAGTTATCAAATATAATTTTATCACAGTGAACAAAAATGAAATATATTTTATATATTCATGACTTGTATATACAGGGTTAGATTGATAGGGTCATTAAGTGTATAAAGTTATATATTTTTATCTGTAGGGTAATTTAAAAATTGTTTGAATTTTGCAAATGACTGTATGAAAGAATTTTTTTTTATATTCCTTAAGAGTGAGTGGTGCATGATCTTGCAAAATCATTGCTAAATGGTCAAAACCTACTTAAAATAGCAGCACAATATTTTGTACCGGAACATGTTATTCTACACATTATAGATTTGTGTTAAAAGACAGGGACATTTTATATTAAAACTCTTTCCAGAATCCACCAAGCAAAAAAATTATACATGTATTCTGTAAAATATTTCATTAGATATAGCTTTATACCCTTTAAAATAGAAAAAAAATGGCATAATTAAAAATTTACTTTACTTTACTTTAAGGAAAAAAATTTCCTTTGAATGAATGGTACATTTTGTATGACTATTAATTTTGAACATTATGTGCAATTTGTAAATTTTTCTGTAACTTATTATATATAAGCATATTTATAAATAAAAGTTTTTTTTTCTGTTGTAGTTTGTTTGCATAGTTATCTTAGAATACCCCTTACCTGGATACTTGTTTTTTTATGCTCCCCGAAACATTTCGGGGGAGCATAATAGTTGTCGGGTTGTCCGTCCGTCAGTCCGTCCCGAATTCGGTCTCCGATCAATAACTAAAGAACCCTTAGGCCTACGAACTTCAAACTTGATAAGGTGATTGGTCATGACCAGCAGATGACCCCTATTGATTTAGGGGTCAAGGGATCAAAGGTCATGGTCACATTGACCTTATAGGTAAAAACAGTTTCCGATCAATAACTAAAGAACGCTTAGGCCTGGTATGGTTCAAACTTGGTATGGTGATTGGTCATGACCAGCAGATGACACGTATTGATCTTGGGGTCAAGGGGTCAAAGGTCAAGGTCAAATTGATTGTGTAGGTAAAACTGGTTTACGTTCAATAACTAAAGAATGCTTAGGCCTAGGAACTTCAAACTTGGTATGGTGATTAGTCATGACCAGCAGATGACCCCTAATGATTTTGGGGTCAAGGTCAGATTGACCTTGTAGGTAAAAACAGTTTACGATCAATAACTTAAGAACGCTTAGGCTTAGGAACTTTAAACTTGGTATGGTGATTGGTCATGACCAGCAGATGACCCCCAGTGATTTTGGGGTTAAGGGGTCAAATGTCAAGGTCACATTGACCTTGTAGATAAAAACTGTTTCGGATCAATAACTCAAGAACGCTTAGGCCTAGGAACTTCAAACTTCGTATGGTGATTGGTCATGACCAGCAGATGACCCTATTGATCTTGGGGTCAAAGGTCAATGTCACATTGACCTTGTAGGTAAAAATGGTTTCTGATCAATAATTAAAGAAGGCTTTGGCCTAGGAACTTCAAACTTGGTATGGTCAATGGTCATGATCAGCAAATGACCCCTAATGATTTTGGGGTCAAGGGGTCAAAGGTCAAGGTCACATTGACCTTGTAGGTAAAAACGATTTCCAATCAATAACTAAAGAAGGCTTAGGCCTAGGAACTTCAAAATTGGTATGGTGATTGGTCATTGGAGCATATAGTTGTTTGGTTGTCAGTCCATCAGTTCGTCTGTACCTACGTCCCAAATTTGTGTTCGGCCCATTTGGGTTGTTTTTACTGTTTGAACTTTGTTTGTGACATAACTCTTACACTACAAGAGGTATACCTTCCTGTGTCCAAAACCTATTCGGGGAGCATCATTCGGTTCAACAGACTCTTGTTTAAATCGTGTAACAATATTTTAAGAACTTAAATAGTAATCTTATAGCCCTGCAATCATCTTAAGTTCTGTATGATTTCCAAGTTTTTTGTTTTAGACTTTGAACCTGCTCTGCAGTATTAAAATAATGCCCCATCATTTGGAACACCTTGGTGATTTTAACAATATCAACTAGAACTATCGCTGAATCTGATTCATACCCCCACCAATGTCCTTGACAGAAGACATCTTGGAAAGGTGGTTAAGGGAATAACTTAAGTGGCACAAATACATAAAAAGAAATTATCTCTGGTGAAAGAATGACTAATTATACAGGTAATGGTATAAATATATATTATCAAAATCATTGTTTGAAACAGTTACAAAATAACCTTTCATTTTCCCCCAATGTACCAAACATTTTATAAGTCAATTTTTGACCTTCAATGTTGGCCTTTGACCTTAAAAAAACCTGGCACAAAGGGTAAGATGGGTTCTGCACATGGGCCCAGTTGGGGTGAACATTTGAGTAAAGTTGAAGAAAATCCTAACATTAGTATATAGAATTTATAGAGTGGACACAACATATTGTCTTGCATTGATTGTATGTTAAATTTTAAGACTTTTAAAAAAGGGCATAACTTTGTCATTAATGTAAAAAAATCAGAGTTATGAAACTTGACCCTGAATATCTTATATGTGACACCTCATATATCTTTTTAAGTTTTAAGCAAGTACCTGTGCTAGTTTCAGAAATATTCAAGTACATGTTAAAATTTAAGAACATTTTCTAAGTCAATTTTTGACCTTCAAGTGTGACCTTGACCTTTAGCCAGCACAAAGTGACATGGATTCTGCAAATTACCTTGTTGAGTGTGAACATTTGAGTTTAAAGGTTCCATTAGTATAGGATTTATGATTAGCGGACATGACATGTTGTCTTATATTTGATTGTATGTTAATTTGAAAGACTTAAAAAAGGGGCACTAACTTTGTTAAAATGCAATACAGAGTTATGAAACTTAACCAGCATATTTAATTGTGACACTTCATATATATTTTTAAGTTTTCAAGCAAATACCATTTTTCTAAATTCAGAAATATTCAATTTAATGTTTAAAAATTAAGAATATTTTTCTAAGTCAATTTTTATCTTTAAGTGTGACCTTGACTTTAAGACTGCAAAAGGTTGACATGGTTCTGCACATCCCTTGTTGAGATAACATTTGAGCCAAAATTGAAGAAAATCTTTCAATTAGTGTAGGACTTACAGAGCGGACACACGAACATACTGTCTAATATTACATTGTTTGATATTTGACCTTCAGTTGTGACCTTGACCTTGAGCTGACACATGGGGCAACATGGGTTCTGCACATCCCCTTGTTAGGTTGAACATTTGAGCAAATGTTGAAGAAAATTCTTTCAATTAGTGAAGGACTTACAGAGCGGACATGACATAATGTCTAATAATTCATTGTTTGATATTTGACCTTCAAGTGTGACCTTGAATCTTGAGCTGACACATGGGCAACATGGGTTCTGCACATCCCCTTGGTTAGGTGAACATTTCAGCCAAGTTTGAAGAAAATCTATTAAATAAGTGTAGGTGTTAACAGAGCGGGGGACACGGACATACTGTCTAATATTTCATTGTTTGATATTTGGACCTTCAATTGTGACCTTGACCTGAGCTGACAACATGGGCAACATGGGTTCTGCACATCCCCTTGTTAAGGTGAAACATTTTGAGCCCAAGGTTTGAAGAAACTCTTTCTGTAAGTTGTAGGAGTTACAGAGCGGACACGACATACTGTCTAAATATTTCATTGTTTTGATATTTGACCTTCAAAGTGTGACCTTGACCTTGATCTGACACATGGGCAACATGGGTTCTGCACATCCCCTTGTTGAGGTGAACATTCGAGCCAAAATTGAAGAAAATCCTTCAATTGGTATAGAATTTATAGAGCGGACACGAAAATAGAGACAGACCAACCCACCGACGGACCGACCAACGGACGGACGGACAGACGCGACAAAGCGAATCCATTATAGCCCCCCCCCCATTTTGTGGTGGGGGTATAATTACAGAAGAATAAAAAGAATGGGATAAAAAATAGCGATTGAAAAACTATTACATTAGTACATTGTACTAATTAATTAATTTGAATTGTATAACTTGCATGTGTCCAAAATAAAACAATAAAAGAACATTATGAGATCTTTATCCCCTGGGGATGGGTTGCTTGTGCCCAAAATTAAAAACAAAAAATCATTAAAAACTTTAAAAAAACGTTTTCATTTCAAGGGCCTTTAAAAAAAATAATTAAAAACCATTCAAATTTAAAAAAACCCGTGTAATTATTTCCCCAAAACTT